TTGAAAAAAGTATTCCACTGCCAAAGCTTCATTTATTTACAAATTTCAAGATGAAATTTTCAGCCGTAAAATCGTTCCGAATAGATTGCAATGAATGTTAAAAAATGTCTTTTATCCTATATAAAAAGAAATCAAACCACTTCTCGCAAAGAAATGCATAGATCTCCTTTATTCATGCGAATTTATAAGCATGTCGCTTAAAATCGATTAACTTCCGTAACGATTTTGTTTTAAATTTCACGCATTTCAAAAAGAACTGAAACTTATCTGAAAGTGACCACGGAACCTTATATCGTTCCGAATAGATTGCAATGAATGTTAAAAAATGTCTTTTATACCATATAAAAAGAAATCAAACCACTTCTCGCAAAGAAATGCATAGATCTCCTTTATTCATGCGAATTTATAAGCATGTCGCTTAAAATCGATTAACATCCGTAACGATTTTGTTTTAAATTTCACGCATTTCAAAAAGAACTGAAACTTATCTGAAAGTGACCACGGAACCTTATATCATCGATTCTAGTTGCGAGTCAGCTATTTTACATGATTACATTTTCGACATAACAAAATGAATTAGACAAAAACAGTTGTCTCTCTTAAAAATTTAACTTCCGTAACGGTAATTCAGGAACGTTTTTGCATTTAAGGTATAAAATTGTTGATTATTTTGGGAGCGAAATGCTTCATACTTTTGTTTAAATATCCTAAAACAAACTTTGATTTTAACTATTGAAGAGAATTTTAACTTTTATTGCTTGGAATTAACTTCCGTAACGATATTTTTCCCAAAAATTTAATTTAAATTCGGATTCATGCGAGACTTCATGAATCATACTTTAGCGTTCTTTACTGAACATCAGAAATGAAAAATTGGTCAAATTCAGCTTTATTTAAAAAATAATAAGGCTTGATCAAGCGTTAACTTCCGTAACATTACCTAAAAATCAATGGTATCTTGAAATTGTTGTAAGAAGTTAACGATACCAGATTTGTGGACAATTCTTTGTTTTCAAGTTCACTGATAGGTCCTTTGGAGAATTATGATGTTGATTTTGCTATTTGAAACAATTATTTTTTTCATGTTTTTTACTCTGAATTGGTCCATTTATCGTAGAATGACCGTACTGAACTCCATTTTTTTTCCGTAAATTTTCACAAAAGCAAAGATTATTAATAAGTAAATTGATTTTTAAACTTTCACCCCTTTCCTTTTTAAAATCATGAAAATCTTTCAGAAAGGTCTGTAAACATATTTTTCATAGAACATGTTGTTGCCTGCGTGGCGCAGTGGTTAGAGTGTTTGCTCTAGAGTCGCATAGTAAGGAGTTGATCCTTACATGTACGTCGCGGGTTCGAGTCCCACTGTGGGACGTGGAGACCAGTCCTTCGGATGAAACCGTATAAACCGAGGTCCCGTGTCGCAGTATGCTGGCACGAAAAAGATCCCTCACTGCTCAATAGCCCTGAGTGCCGAGTATAGGTCAAAATTTGCAGCTCTCCACCAGCAAGTGGTGGCGTCTCCATATGAGTGGAAAATTCTCGAGAGGGACGTCAAACAAAAAAAAAAAAGAAACAGACTATAGCAATTTCCTGTTTTTATAAAATCGGTTCTACCCTTTAACCTTTGAATGGGTCAACCTACACCACGTGTCTTGAATTCAAATCACAATAGCATTAGTAAGGGTGTTTTTAAACACTGAATTGTCTACGGATTTTTACGTTTGCCCGATCATGACAATGAGCACACGGCGGGTGTGACCGGTAGACAGGGAATGCTTCATCGTCCTTGGCACCTGTCCCCGGCCACCTCTGAGGTTTATTTTAGAGGACCGTTTATCCTCTGCACCCGATTTGTCTTGTTTAAATCGTTCGTTATTTCCGTATTTCATTGATTAATTGTAAAAATTTCGAAAGGTGAAGCTTACCTCAATATTTTGGACATCGTTAAACAAGACATAAGCATGATACATGTAAAAACGTGTCGTGTTTACATTTCTCGAATAAGAAAAAAATCAGCCATGGTCTCAGTTTAGCTAAATAATTTTTGTGTTCCCTGTTTCACAAAATACCTTACCATATGCTGATTATGACCTGTTTTTACATAATAATACTGCCCGTGTATTCACCGAGTATGATCTTGCTGTACAAAGAGGTCATGTTTGACATCACCGACTTGAACGCTTAGTGTAGGGAATCAAAGGGTCAATCTATTTCATTATTTCTTAATGTTAACAAGAATGTTAAAACGTTTAAATATTTTTATATAAGATGGTGTAGTTAAACAAAGTGTGAAAAATTTATACAAGTTTTAATACAAGTACTGATGTTTTAAATCATGTTTTGAACTTATATTATCAGAGACTATATGACGTAATATAAACTGAGTCATGTTATCATGTCCCTTTTAATTTTACCAGAAGACAAGCTTGGGATTCTTAAATGAGCTTCATATGTTAACAAAGTAACATACATGTAACATCTAAAATATACCTTTAGAATATAAATATTTGTCTACATCCGTTTCGGCAAAATAGAAAAATCTATCTTAGAACTGTAAATCAACACATGTAAATCTGGCTTCAATAATGGTTCAAATATGACCAAAGTATTTACCATTTTGTTGTACACAACTAAAAGTTTGATAAACTGTAAACGTACTTTTATCCACGGTGTCAAAATTCGGCGGAATTACAATTTCTGTTCAATCCGCGGGTAGACAATTATACGGATTTCTTAGATTGCCTCTCTGTGTCTTGAATGTACTTTAAGTACAATTGGAAAAATTGACCGCATACAGTGTAAATTAATACCACGCGGAAAAATGTACTTCTACAATATTTAGGTCGCCCGCGTGGCGCAGTGGTAAAGCGTCTGCTCTAGAGTCGCGGAGTAAGGAGTTGATCCTTACGTCGCGGGTTCGAATCCCACTGTGGGACGTGGAGACCGGTCCTTCGGATGAGACTGTATAAACCGAGGTCCCGTGTTGCAGTAGATGCTGGCACGAAAAAGATCCCTCACTGCTCAATGGTCGTAAGTGCCGAGTAAAGGTCAAAATTTGCAGCCCTCCACAGGCAAGTGGTGGCGTCTCCATATGAGTGAAAAATTCTCGAGAGGACGTTAAACAACAAACAATCAAAAAACACTATCTAGTATTCAACCAAATAGATTGATAGATACAAATTCATTTTTTGTCCCTGATATCAACATTTGGAACAAAAATTCTAAGATACATGAACAACAAAGTTGAAGTGTACGTTTTTATGTCCTTAATTTTGGCATACAAATTGATAGAATGAATTAAGAATCTACAGTTCAAATTCAAAGTACGGTACACCTGAATCAATGTCCTATTGGCAAGAATTATCTTTTCTTTCATATAATTAAGATAATAATATCGGCTTTTCAGCTGCTTAAGTATACAACCTACAAATGTCCTCAATAAAATTCAGTCTGAGTCTATTCCATCCCTATAGACTTGTAGTTATGTTCTCTTCTGATGATGTCTGAAACGAAAAAGTACCAATTATGTCAGAAAAACAAACTAATTATTCATAATTTTCATGAAATGTTAAACTTTTAAGGGCATTGCCATAAAAAAAACATGTACGTCATATACGATTCATGGTCATTGAATTTCTTTTAGCTATAAATCTTAGTAAAATATTATTATTCTAAGAGACATTGCACTGCATTGTATGTTCGTACTTTCTCCGATTCACCTAGTTCTTTAGCTGGATTGATGTTTTCCACTCTTTCTTCTTTCTCTTCACGTTCGACTAGCCTTTCCTCTTCCTCAACTCTGTCACTTCCCTTAATACCTTCCTGCTCAGTTTGTTGATGTTTCCTATTAACGTCACTTTGATCTTCATTAAACACCTTAATATCTCTTACTTGGTGGTTTCGAATTTCCACCAGAAATTTCATCTGCATTTCCATAAGTTCATTTAAACTTTTTAAGTGTGAACTCACATTGTCCTGTAGAAATTGAAGAGAAATAAATTAATATTGCTTAAATTTCCTCTAAGTATTGCTTAAATTTTCTCTGTACAAGTATCAAAGACAGGTAGTTTTAAATACATGAAAGTAGCAGTTAACAAGTTAACGTACCAATGTTTCACTGAATTTTGCTGTTAAACATTGACAATGAAACACTTCTGAAGACAAACAGTTTGTATCAACACGAACAGGCAAGGTTTCCTGGTGGGTGTCATTGGCACTTGAAAAAATATAAGTCAATTTCAGTAAGAACGATTCAAATAATTTTTTTTATACCAAAGATTTCTTTTTAAACAAGAGACGTTTGTGAAACACTTATGCCCCCTCCCCCAAATAATTGGAATTTTTCTAAGTCCAAGGGGCATAACATTGTCAAAAATTGCTCGATCGTACCCAAAACAGAACTTGACCTAGATATTTTATGATAAATCTGTAAACCAAATTTCATTTCAGTATGTGAACCTCTGCAAAGAAAAATGAACGGAAACTGGAAATAATTGGAATTTTCCAAAGTCCAAGGGGAATAAATCTGTCAAAAATTGCTCGATCGTACCCAAAGCAGAACTTTACCTAGATATTCTTATGATAAATCTCTATACCAAATTTCATTTCAGTATGTACAACTTCTGCGATGGAAATGAACGAAAACTGTTGGTGGACCGACAGACAGACCGACAGACAGAAAGCAGCAAAGCAATATGCCTTTCTTTCTTCGAAGGGGGGGGGGGATAAAAATATTTCAAATAAAGAATGGATAACGGAAAAATCAAGCTCGATAAAACATCTATTCTAAAAATGCGATTATATGATGTTGAAATAGGAAATAATAGTAATTTGAAACATAGAAGGTTATCTAGTGTTGGAATACAAGAATGAAGAAAGTGGAACCAACAAAAACACGGACCTGCAGAAACTAAAACGTAGGTAAATAATTTTTGGACAATGAGCAAAAAAAATCTTTTATTGTCAGATTTTTCACTGAAAGCAAACATGGAGATCCATTACCTTATTGTGGAATTGTTTGCACTTTGTTTATTTAACGTTGTAGGACTTTGATTCAATCTTTTTGACAGCAGGTAATTTGGACCATCCTTTGCGACGGAGTTTTCAGGGTGTTGATTTGTGTATCCTACATTACCTTCTTGAGCATTTCTTTTAATTGTCAAGTCACATTGTTTTGAGCTAGAATCTACACTCTTTGTAACACCTGCTAAGTCATCAGACACTTTGTTCTTCTCACAAATTAGCAATCCCCTCTTATTTGCCTCCATGGCTTTTTCAACAATGGTTGGAAAACTGAATTTTCTTGGCTTATGATTTTCTTTAATAGCTATAACATCCCCCTGAGGAAGCTTAGCAATGACTGGCCAGCAGTCCTGTTGCTCAGTTTGTCCCATTTCAGTCCTGTCTTGACTATGTGTAGAACCTCCTTTGTATCCTGTCTTCATGGCTAGATCTTTCATGGCACCAAGAAATTTCTTTTTTCTACTCTTCCGTTTACTTACATTATTTATTAAAACCCCTGGAGCTTTTTTGCTTTTAACCACTCGTATCTGCTTACTCGGGCTTCCGCGGAGGTATCGAGCAGGAGAGTTTGGTGACCATTTTGTTTGAAAATCGGAAACAGAAAATTTCATTTTTTGTCTATGCACTTCTATTTCCTTTAGTCTTTGTTGTCCATATTCTCGAATAACTCGCTAATGAAGAAAATGACAGAATGCACTATTATAGTAAATTTATCTATCGTGATGGTTAAAATGTAGAACAATAGAAATTCGATAAAATGCATGTACTAGTATACAGATTATATTCACAGACATTCATATGCTGTTGTTACAAAAATAGTTTTAGTTTTTATAGATAGTGAAACTGAAAGGTTTAAAAGGTCGAAAATCGAACTGAAATAAAAGTACTGCTATTTTACTGATGTGCTCACTGCCAGGTGCTTATGTTAAGTCTAGTGTAACTATGTCTAGATTGTGTTGTTATGTAAAGCTTATGGCTTCTAGAATGGAGTTATTAGTAAAATATCTATAAAAATTATCTAGGTTTTGCAATGCTCCTAAGTTAAACTATAGTTATACGTAGGTACCATGTTACATAAGGTGTATTTTTTCCACCACCGTATGACTTTAATCGCTGTTTACCGTGAAAAATAAGCTTCTCCTGAAATATTGCACTTTAATGTTATAAGAATTTAATTTTTCCTCTCGAAATATTCAATATATCATTTTTTTCTCTTATTTTAGACTAATATATACTAGATAGAAAAGTAGTGCAAAATATATGTATTTATTATTCAAACAATTTTCAGATTTAATTGTGATTTTCTAAAATTAGAAGAAAACGGCTATAGGTAGCTTACCTCTGCTTCTGGGTGGTCTTTTAGTGCCTCTAACACGTCTTCACGAGATAGAACAAAGAGTTCAGAATAACCCACCGATTTAACATCGGCAGTTCTCCTGAAAATACATTATTCATTTCATTTCAATATTTGACTTTTACTAACTTTTATCTAACTGAATGAAGAGTCCGAAATACATTTTCTACCATCTTTACCTGTTGATTCCCCCATCTAAATTTAATATTCCAATTTCTCCAAAAAAATCTCCAGTTTCCATTTTTGTCAGAACGGTTCCACTTTCACTAGAAAGAGGGGAAAAAATTAATTAGTAAAACAAGTAATTTTTTTTAGTTCTTGAAAGTCATATATGACAAAAGTTCCTTTAAAACAAAACAAAAATTGGAAAACTAGAAAACATTTTTCACCCTTTGAGTGAAAAGTAAAAAAAAAAAAATTAAAATATTTTAAACTTAACGCTGTAAAAGTCCATTAAAACAAGTCCCCAATAATTTTAGACTGAATTGACACACACACAAATTATAATAAGCAGTTTTTAAGGGAATTTTGGTTTCTTACGTAAAACTTATACATTTATTACAATGTATGGGGGAGGGGGGTGTTTAATGTGAGGTAATTTCCAAATTTCTTTGTCGGAGATAAAACTACAAATAAGAAAATAGATTAATTTCTTCTTAAAGCCATTTGCTAATCTTTTAAAACATTAAATGAATAATAAGGTAAAAATTTAAATATAAGTAATGACTGTCTTTTTTGTGATGATGAAAATATTTTTGCTCCCGTGATGATTTATGCGGATACGCCTTCGGCGTTTATGTAAATTTATGCAAACTGAATGAATATATCATAAAACAAAAAAAAATTGGCCGTTATTACAACAATTTTAAACAAGTTTGGGCCAAATTTTCAACTGTTTTTCTTTACAAGATAAAATTATTTGTAGAAAATAATCATTATCATAAAAATATATATATTTCTTATTTTTCCTTTTTATCATCGAAGTAAATCATTTTACTTTTCATATATATGATAATTTTTAAAAACATGAATAGTAATAGATATTTATTCTTAGGTAACATAGCTTGTGAATTAAAGACTTCCGCAAGATGCATTTTTTAAAAACTTTCAATAATCACATTTTCATGTTTTTCAATTCTTAAAATCATAATCTATATTTTTAATTGTATTGTATGTATTACTTGTCTAATAATTTTTTTTATCCACAGAGAAAACAAAATATTCATAATCCATTTATATCCTCACGTTTCCAGATGTCAACAGTTCTGAAATTAGAGTAATGTAATAATGAGTGTAACATGAATTTTATTCACGATATGTTAATGAATTTTATTCACGACATGTTAACTCTGTTTTTGGATTGAAAAAAAACACATCTATAGCCTCTTTTTTTTTTTTTTTTTTTTTTTTTTTTTTTTTTTTTTTTGAAAACGAATAGACATATGGAGTATGCTTATCTATTTATAGTTGTAATAGACCTATCAGAAAGCACGTCTTATTTTTTGGTGTACACTCTGACGTTGTCTTACTGCATGCAGTGTTTTCAACAGGATTCCACTAATTATAGTTTAGCACTTACATTTTACAGATAACGACAGTAATAGACCCCCCCCCCCTTTAGGCGACAAAGTGTAGGAGATCCTTGTTTTTCTAAACTTTGCTCAAATTTCTTGCAATGTCATCCTAGAAAGTCGTCAAAACATGTCATGTTTAACAGATTATTATGCCTAAAAAATAAACCCCAAAAGGTATATATTAATTAGTATACAAGTATATAAAAACATCTATTCTAAGCTGTCCATCGTATTTTTCCACAGCTCTCATTACACCTTGGAATTCCTCCCACGTCATTTTAAGTTTGATCTCATCTCTGATGAGCCTTTGCTATGCCTTACATATAGGGAATGTGATAACGAACAGGTAAAAATGCTTTACTTCACGAATAATCTCCATGTACAGACGTAGAAGATCACGGATAAGCCAAGAATATTATATGTAGGACATCATTAATTTACACCTCAAGAAAGTTGTGAGGGAGGGGAGGGGGTATTGGATGCTCGGCTATCACTCGTAAGGACACCTACTTGGAGATCATTCTTTTTAAAGCAAATAAAATCACCTTATGATTTCCACCAAGCCGTCTGCTATGATAAACATCTCCCGGGCTACCTCACCTTGACGACAGATCAGGTCCCCGGGAGTGAAGATATATGCCTTCATCTTCAACACCAAATCATGCAAAAATTCAGGCTGACATTCTTGGAAGATAGTTACCTACAACCATAACAGCCAAATTGTCATTGACTTCTAACAATAACTAGTAGAGAGATGATACTGTAGAACCCATCCTCTTAAAACCTAATAATAATGTTAATTTATAAAACAAAGTACACCTACTTTGAAAATATACAGTCAGTAAATATATATATAAGTATATATAGACATTATAAACGGAAGTGTTTATCATCTGGATTTCTTATCTTTTCTTAAATTTTATAATGTTTAGGAATGGACATGAAAAATATATACTGTAATGCAGCCAAATGTTTACCCTTTTGAGGGTTTCCAAGTTGACGTGTATTGCTAGTTCTGTTTTCAGCTTGTCCGGAAGTAAACCTAGAGAGTTGATATCCGAACCTTTCATTCTGCCTCTGAAACACACAATTTTGATTAGTAAACTGATGATAATTTCAAAAATACCTATAGGAATGTTTTAAGGTTCATGTAAATTTAATTTATTTTGTTAGTTCACCTAAATTAAAGGTTTGTGTGAGCTTTTCTGGACAAAATTTGTCGTCCGTCTGTTTGTCTATTAACTAGAAATATCTTCGATTTCTTTAGAACCAATGGGTTCAAAATGATAACACTTCATTAATATCATCATTAGTTGAATGAAGATCAGCATTGCTGAAGGTTGACATCCCTTTTTTAAGAAGAAACATTAAAAAAGAAACAATAGAAAATATTTCCAAATCTTTTCAAGAACGAAAGATCAGAAGAGACATGTCATTTCAAAAACTGTCTTAGTGTTTGTCCAAAGCATGGCAATACAGATTCTAAATTTTACACTGTAAAAAGACACTTGTATATTGATATGGATTATTCAAAGTCTGCTGTTCATAAGAAAATTCATTTTAAAGATTTTTCCTACATATAACTACGTGATACTTTGACCCAGGGGCCATGATTTGAACATATTTAAGCCTACATACATGAAGATGCTTATTTATCAATATGACTTATTTTGTCTCCGCTGCTTTTGAGAGGAATTTTTCTTATACATTCCACAATCGACCCGTCCTAGCCAAGGGGCAAAAATATCAAAAATGTGAATTTAGACTCATTGAAGAAGTTTACATTTAAGTTCTGTATTTTTAAAATGGATGATTCTTGATAAAAAGTCTTTTTTAAATGAGGCCACCAAATTTTCCGTATTTCTTATTCATTATCTCTTGAAAAAGATTGTGGCCCTTTATTTCAACGAATCTGAGGCCACTTCATCGAAGAATACTTTGTGCCAAATGGGTAAATGTAGGTGCACTTGCATTGGAAAAGAAATCGCAAATGTGAAGTTTACAGGCAACAGTCGCATAGATACAAGACACTTATTCATCAGTTATGCACACTTGAGCCTTTGCAGCTCATAACGAGTCTATAAAAGGTCCGGAATATCCTATGTTTTCCAGGCCTTTCTTTTTCTTATTTAAGATATTTATCATGGCAGAAACTTCAAATATCCAAATAGTGAAAAAGCCTTGAAAACGTCAGATATGTCGGACCACCAGTCTACAAAATATTTGCATGGGATTTTCGGGGGGAAAAAACTATGATTATTTATGGTGTCTTTGGAGAGGTCTTCCAACAATCTGTTGAAAGTGCATGATCCAATGGTACTAACTGTGCTCCATTCTCAGTCAACCTGATTTTGTCTTGTTATAAAGCAATATTTACTCAAAAGCTTCTGCATAAAAAGATGTCTCCTGCTGAGTCCTTCAATTTGGCATATATATATCGACGTTTTTTTTTTGAAAATTAAATTCAGTTAAAAATATTTATTTATTTCATGAAATATGAAGATAACAAACAGTATTCAATCTCGAAAATCCAATGAAACAATACAAATTTGTTGAAACAATACAACTTTGGAGCAGGGCAAACACGGACCTCAAAATTTAGAGGTGGGATGAGGTGCCATGGAGGAGTGAGCATCCCCTGCCGACCGGTCACACTCGCCGTGTGCCCCTTATGATCGGAAAAATCCGTAGACAATTCAGTGTATAAATAATGACCTAACAATTAGTATGAAAAACGTCAGTCAGCATTTGACTCAATAAGGGGTTGTATGTGCTGACAAAGCCATTGTATCGACCATAAAACTTGCGAAATGATGACTTCAAACGAGACTGTCGATACCCTCGTTTCATCAACTTTATTGTCAATAACTTGCCTCGTTTCAGAAATTGTTCATAAATAGAGCATGCTCTTGCGTATCGAATCAACTGAGAGACACAAACCCCATACGCAGGTGATAACTGATAAGGGTATATTGCAAGATAATTAAGGGAAGTTGACGATTGAAAAGTTGAAGTCATAACGTTTATCATAAAGCTTTGTTGTTAGGTTACGTTTAACGTCTTTTCTAGTAAGATATCTAAACATGAAACAGATGTGTCAGACCCTGTGGTCTTTTATTTCAAGGTCATTGGAAAATATCGAATCGACATATGAATGGAAGTAACTATTGTTAATTGATAATTGATAATACGTCGTTCATATATCGAAATGTCGAGTTGAAGGCCACAGCAAGTGTTTTCTTCTTCTCATGTAGAAGTTTATGAATAAATTCAGCTTCATATGAATACAAAAAAGGTCTGCTAATAACGGGGCGCAATTGGTTGATTTGGTTCCCATGAAAATTCCATCAGACTGTTGAAAGACCTGATCTCCAAAAACTACATACTAGTAGATATTGTCAATCAGAAACTCGAGAATCTTTTTAATATTAACTTCAGAGTACTTGTGTGTACAATCACAATGCCTTTTAACAAAATAATTTTTCAAAAGACCAATGACAAGGTAAGTATATTTACGAATTTCATTTTTATTGAAAAAGCAGCTGTCTGTGAGTTAAAAAACCTGGACTTCGATTTATCGGGGGAAATGGTTGTAAAGTGTTGAAAAGTCTTACGTTTTGATGTTATTGATTTTAGTAACATTTTGTGATTTCAAATTTACTAAAAGTTTCTTGGAGTTTTATAAGTATCCACATCTGATTAACACCACTTCTCAAATAAACTGTTGTACAGTACTTATGAAGTTTCTCTTCATTAAAGTAACTATTTTTGTGAGGAGTAAAGAAAGAGGCTTGGTAGTTTTTAAGTATCCACATCTGATTTACACCACTTCTCGAATATACGGTTGTACAATACTCATTGAAGTTTCTCCTCTTTACAGTTAATATTTTAGTGAGGAGTAAAGAAAGAGGCTTGGTAGAACATTTACTAGAACCCGCTATGTATCTTTGTATGTAAGGATTCTTATGAATCCAGTAAAGGTATGGTAATTCAAATTCATTTTGATTGTTGAGAATTTTAAAAATATCTAAAGCGGACATATGATTTTGAAGAATCTCCTCCTTAGAAAGGGAGCTATGGGTGTTAGTTCGATTTACACGTGCAGAATTAAATCCTAGTTTCTCTAAAATACAATTCAGATAATGCGCCTTACAAACAAAGACTATGTTGTTACTAGTTTTGTCAGCTGGGACCAGTACATACTGATCGTGTTATTTATCTAATTTCTTTTTCACCATTAATTTATAGACAGAAGGATGAATAGTTTACATACAGCCCCTCAATAGCTTAATGCGAGATTTCAACATCCATCTGATGCTCTTAATCCACTTTTATAAAGTGGCAAGGTTTTTTTTCGCGTTTGGCCCATCGCCTGGCGTAATCTTTCACAGAATTCATAATATCTATAAAGTTATGACGCCTGTTGAACGGGGAACGCAGAACGAGGTTTCCTAAATTTTGACCCTTTAAAATCAGGGATTTAAAGTCATCATTATTAACTATGTTTACATCACCAGTAATGACGTGTCCAGCAGGACTATAGGTGGAGGGTGAAGAAGATCATGAACACGTAGGAGGATTATGTATCAGATGTTCGATATCTATTCACGGTAGAGTTTTTTTTTGGTAATTAAAAAGTTTGGAAGCAATATAGTCTATTTATAAGAAATACAAGGTGTGGTCTTCAACTTGAAATATGGTGGAATACAAGACTGGAAGCTTTTGTGACCAAAAATATTACTTATATTAGCTGCGTCGAATCTTTTGTTTGCAAATTGAAGTTTAAGAAACAAATAGATTGTTTGAGCAAAATTATTTTTCCGTAAAACGTTGCAGTTTAAAAAGCCTATGATTTGCAATATCCATAATCAAAGATCCAAACCTGCATTCTGGTGTCGAAGAATCCAAATATGGACTTTCCATGACCTTTCAAATAGGCCATATAGAACTTTCAAAGAGACAGAGTAAAGTTTGGCGCGAATGTGATGGAGACCAAACTGTTTATTTACATTAGGTAGTAGTGAATCAAAAGAAACATCGTGTATAATAGGTTTATTGTATGACCAATGCCCATGACTACGCTTACGTCTCTGAGTATTGTTAAAAAGTCCCATGACATTCGCATTGCTACACTGTGGACTTGAAAGACTCCCAATACTATCGACATTGCCATTGCTTCCATATGAAAAGGCTGTGCCAAGTTTCCTACTCCAGTATTCTTCTCGTTGTCTACGGAAAGGTGTACTCAATGATGGACTATTAGTATGATGTTAATCTTTTCTAGAATTCCTTTCTAGATTTCATTGATAAAATAGAATGATCTGGTAAATTAAAGTGCTTGTAGAGAATCTGCTTTTATGAAGTGAACCCTTGGTTTCAACAACATAAATAAGTCCACAAAGGTTACATTCTGGTTCAGATTTTCCTAAGTTTTGGTATAGAAGCTTTGTCCTGTCAGATTGCTAGTAAAAGAACAGTATGTAATCAGAACATCACACGTTTTACAGTTTTTAAGCAGAACATTTGGAAATAGATGCCATTGGATCGGAAAAGGATTCATCAAATATATCTATAAGAGAAACTTAAACCTTTGTGTACGAACTGTTGTTTTTATACCAAAACTGGGAGTCTGAAGATTGTTCAAATATTTTAAATATCCCGGAGGATTATCCCAGGTACCCCAACTGAACTCTTTGAGTCAATGTTCCTAATAGACTCAAAAGAGTGACGTTTTTTTATACTGGGCGACGCGTCTGCCAGTATATGTATCTTTTCGTTATACTTTTGTACTATGCATGAATGAATAAGTACCGAACGACAAGTATCTTCGGGGACAGACTGTCCACCAGCTGAGATACAATTTCGGTGGTTAAAATGAAATATGAAGATATCGAACAGTATTCAATCTCGAAAATCCAATGAAATAATACAAATTTGGAGCAGAGCAAACAAGGACCTCAAAATTTAGAGGTGGGATCAGGTGCCATGGAGGAGTGAGCATCCCCTGCCGATCTTTGTATTTACATATCCCAATAAACTCAAAATAAAAGACACCATATTGCCTGAAACATCTATTTCATATTTTGACCTAATATAAACATTTATGGAAAATAGACAACCAAACTGCATGATAAACGGGCATGAGTATTTTTTATCCTCATCTTCCTGTATTTATATAGTATTAAACCAATATCACATGCACATGGTGTATTTGCCTTCCAACTGATTCTGTATGCATGAGCATCTTTAATTTCTACTGATGAAAAATTTCATTTCATAGGTGTATCAACAACTTCGTTCAAAGTCAACATTTCTGTGGTCGTTCCAATGACCTTATTTACAAATACAAGCTTAGGTCACATTATTAGGCCATTGGTCTCATACTGATTTCTCTTACTTCGTTCTCCTGATTAAACGAAACATTCGCTTTATTTTAGTGTCGCGGGTAAAGAGTTGATTCTTGCGCAGCGATTCCAATCCCACTGCGGGATGTGGAGATCCGTCCTTCAGATGAGTCCGTTTCATCAAGGTTCATGTGACGATATATACTAGTACACAAAAGATCCCTTACTTCTCAATGCCCCGTAGCAATCAGTGGAGTCCCATCATGAATAAAATATTCTCGAATGATCGTAGAGCAAACAATCAACCAACCAAAGTGTTTACTTGAGCAAGACCAAGGGCTCACGGCGGGTGTGACCAATCAACAGAAGATGCTTACTTCATGGTACCTGATCTAACCTCTGTTTTATTCTCAGGGGCTGATTTTGTTTTACTCTCAACTTGAATTAATATTCGTTATCTTCAAATTTCAATTTGATGTTGTTTAGTCGCCCGCGTGGCGCAGTGGTTAGAGCGTCTGCTCTAGAGTTGCGAAATAAGGAGTTGATCCTTACGTCGCGGGTTCGAATCCCACTGTGGGACGTGGAGACGTCCTTCGGATGAGACCGTATAAGCCGAGTAGTGTCGCAGTAGGTGCTGCCACGAAAAATATCCCTCACTGCTCAATGGCCGTAAATGCCGAGTATAGGACAAAATTTGCAGCTCTCCACCGGCAAATAGTGGCGTCTCCATATGAGTGAAAAATTCTCGAGAGGGACGTTAAACAACATACAAACAAACAAAAACAATTTGATGTTGAAATTGTTTCAAAATTGATTAATTATATAGCAGCCCTGGAATAGACTTATATACATGTATTAACCCCTGATATCTTTTCATTTATTCAATTTTCAACAAATTTTATGCAATATCTATAGACATGTACTCACGCAATGTTTCATGTTAATGATTATCAATGTCCACTTTTCAAACTCCTAGTTTGAAGGCTTTCAGTTTCAAATAAAAGATGTTTACTTTCATCTGTAATTGTAATACTAGTACTGACCACTGGACATGATCTAGACTACCACTGTACTTACCGAGTCCACACGTAATCGTACCACCTCTGAACCCGTTTCTGGACATCTTGTGGTACATTATGCATCCGCATATATAACTTTGCCCCATCCTATATATGAAGAAGCAAAACATAGGTTCACGTGATCGTTTTTTATACATACATGTATTACTGTTTTAATTTTTTAGACGAGAAGTTCTTGTCATTAGCAGATGAAAACGTACCAGAATTTTTTTTGTTTAGCTAACAACAGTTTAAATTCTTGTCTGATTTTTAAAAAGAAGAAGCTAGTGAAGAAGCATCAGTGGCATCATTGAAGAGGTATTATGATGCACGAAGTTCATGAGGATCAGACTACGAAAATGAAATTCTGAAGGGATTATTACACAAGGTGTAAAGACGTACAAACGCAAAGCGAAGAAGGCATAATAAAGCAAAGAAAAAAATTACAATAATGCATATAAAAGCGAATCAAAAGGCGTTATAATGCAATATTTACATTTCCGTTCTCTTATATAACACTGTTTAAGGAGGGATTCTTCTCATATTTCTTGTATTTAAAAATTAATGAAATTTTAAAAGATTCAAAAAGACATCATCATTAAGTGATGGTATCAAATAATTAGAAGATGACCATTTAAAGGCAAGGTCAGGTCAAGGTAATTATCTTTTTCCTTGACATTAAGAATAAAAAATTTCTGTTGCTTATCATGTGATGCCTACTTCTGTTTCAAAAAATTAAATGTTTTTCTTTTTACATAAAAAGATGTTACTATATAGTGTCTACCAGATGATACTACCAAATTGACAAAAATAATTTAAAGAGGTTAGATCCTAGCTGCTATCAAAAGTCTTTAAGAATTTTTGGTCAAGTATATTTTTAGTATCTACTCACATACTTTAATTAAAAATCAAAACAAACCAGAAGTCTCTGATGAGACTGTAGCTCTTCTGGTCTGTACATATAACAAAGGAAAAGTAGCACTTGAATTTGAAACTTTGCAACACGCAGCAATAAATAAAATTAGGTATCTTAATGTAGTCTACTTGTGTGCCAAGTTATATTGAAATCAGACCAAAACTGAAGGAGGAGTAGCGTTTTAAAGGATTTTCACAGAAATTTATATTTTTAGTAACCATGGCAACATCGTTCATCAAAATCAAAAACCGATGCACTAAATTAGGTATCTTAGTGTAGTCTACTTGTGTGCCAAGTTATATTGAAATCAGACCAAAACTGTAGGAGGAGTAGCGTTTAAAAGGAATTTCACTGAAATTTCTATTTTTAGTAACCATGGCAACACCGTTCATCGAAATCAAAAACCGGTGCACTAAATTATGTATCTTAGTGTAGTCTACTTGTGTGCCAAGTTATATTGAAATCAGACCAAAACTGTAGGAGAAGTAGCGTTTTAAAGGAATTCCACAGAAATGTCTATTTTTAGTAACCATGGCAACATTGTTCATCGAATCAAAAACCGATGCACTAAATTAGGTATCTTAGTGTAGTCTACTTATATGCTAAGTAATATTGAAATCAGACCAAAACTGTAGGAGGAGTAGTATTTTAAAAGAATTACACAGAAATTTCTATTTTTATTAACCATGGCAACACCGTTCATCGAAATCAAAAACCGATGCACTAAATTATGTATCTTAGTGTAGTCTACTTGTGTGCCAAGTTATATTGAAAACAGACCAAAATTGTAGGAGGAGTAGCGTTTTAAAGAAATTTCACAGAAATTTCTATTTTTATTAACCATAGCAACACCGTTCATCGAAATCAGAAACCGATGCAAGAAATTATGTATGTTAGTGTAGTCTACTTGTGTGCCAAGTTATATTGAAATCAGACCAAAACTGTAGGAGGAGTAGCGTTTAAAAGGAATTTCACTGAAATTTATATTTTTAGTAACCATGGCAACACCGTTCATCGAAATCAAAAACCGATGCACTAAATTATGTATCTTAGTGTAGTCTACTTGTGTGCCAAGTTATATTGAAATCAGACCAAAACTGTAGGAGAAGTAGCGTTTTGAAAAATTGTTTACAGACAGACAGACGGACGGACGACGGACACCTTACTATCGCATAAGCTCTTCTGGTCTCTGACCAGTAGAGCTAAAAATGGGGGTCAATACGCTTCTTTTGGCGCTACGGGTCATTTAAAGTGACCTTTGCACTGAAATTGTGTCTTAAACAGAAATCACTTCTTAGAAATTTTTCCCACAGTATTTGTTATCTGAATAAATCATTGGCCAAGATATACTCTTATTCAATCTTAAAAAGACATTAAAATTGTAACAAAGAAAAGGCTTCAGTTTACTTCGCATAATCAATTATTTGGCCTTTCTGCACACAAAAACTGTCAATTTTCTGGCATTAAAAATTTATCAAGCAAGAAATTTATTTTAATAGTCTTAGACTTTTGCTGAATCTAAGCAGAATGATAAAAGTTATCTTATATATTTAATCAAATCAAAAGAAGGGGTCTATGATGCAATTTTTTTAGAAACTACTTTGAAAAAGTGTCAATTTAAGTTAAAATTGGCTCTATTTTTTCCTGGATTTCAAAATATATCTTTTTATATTTCTCACAATATGATGGATTTCATAAAAGTTCATTTAATAAATATTTTAGGACCAGCATAAAACATTTCACTGCATAAAATAACACTCTGTGTAGCCTGCATGGAGAATTACGAATCCAAACTTAACAGTACTGTAAATACTTCAAAGAGAAAAACTGATCATTTTCTTCTAAAAAAAAATTTTAAATAAAGGTCTAGGTACAATTTTGAGGAGGAAAGAAAAATATGAACTTTTAAACCCCCTTACATCTAAGTATATCAGACATATAAGTAAATATACTTGAAGAAATTTTCCATTTCAGAAATCAGACAAGAATCCCTCCTTAACGAGGTTGCATCCTGCTATCAAATTTTTGTCAAGTATGTTAAGTTTTATTATTTTGGCCGTGGTTTGGGACGATGAGAATTTTAATTTAAAATTGAAACTTTTCAGAAATATCTAAAAATTTACATCAAACCCCCCACTTTTGATTTTATTTTCTGAATATATGACAACTTTGATCAATCTGCTTAAATTCAGCAAAGGTTTAGGACTTCAAAATAATGTTCTTGCTTGTTAAATTTTTAATGCCAGAAAAATTAGATTTTGTGAGTGCAGAAAGGTCAATAAATTGATTATGCGAAGCACTTTGAAACCTTTTCTTTGTCCCAAATTTAATGTTTCTTTTTATAAGATAGAATATTAATATATTTTGTCCCAGGATTTATTTGAATAAAAATATCGGATGGAAAATTTCGAAGATGTGATTTATGATTACGACACAATTTCAGTGCAAAAAGGCCATATTAAATGTACCGCTACGCCAAAAAAACATATTTGGTTTGATTTGATTATTGATTAAGCTATGTGCATAGATACTCAAAATATACTTGACAAAAATTCTTAAGACTTTGAATTTCAAGATTAAACCTCGTTAAATAACACATATCTATTATTGTTTAAACACAGATTTCTCATGAATGTTCGAAGTAATTTCTCAGTGATGCCATAAAGGTTCGATATGCGTTTAACGGGTCAAACTTATGCCATAGAGATTTGAAAAATAAAACATTTCATGTGTTAAAGATTAAATTCATGCAAAAATATATTCTAAATCAATCAAAAATGTAAATATAAGCAATTCGGTATGCGTTATCACGCTATTTCGCTTTTCATAACTTCTTTTCACTCCCTATTAACATTGTCATGTTATTATGTCTTTACAGTCAGCGTTATAAAACGTTGTAGAGCCTTAAAAAAAGGAGTTTCCATACTTTGATCCTAATAAGCTTTTTAAATCATGACTTTATCGACAGCTAATTTTCTCTAAATGTTTTGATGAAAAAAAAACTTATCCTGATTAATGTACACAAAAAAGGATCAAAAGTACTTTTAAGAAAGATAAAATTATTCAGATTAATATTATCAAAAAATAGATTCTTTTAGAGTACATTATTGGCTATCTGAAGGCTAGACAAAATTGTGTGTTAAATATTGAAAATCGTCAGGCGCCTTCAATAAGTCTGTCAAGACTATCATTAACGTTCATCATAATAAGTCTGTGCTCAATTTTTTTTTCTTTCACAGGAGATGACCGTGGTGTTGTAATAGATAGAACCTACCAACAATCTCTCAAACTCCTGTCTACTCGCATTTCTGTTCGTTATCACGTTTCCCACCTGTCCTGAAAACATAACACATATATTAAATTAATTTAACAGTGCAACTTTCGTTTATCCTATATTATTCATGACGTTATCATTTCTTGTTTTTAAAGTAGAAATAGTTGTTAATAAAATATATGATTTCTTAAATATGATACGAATCACGAATTCTGAGTTTCGTCGTTGCTTTTTATTTCACAAATGCATATACTGAGATGCCGTGTATAAGTTGTAAAATCACAGCGTGATGCGACTCACCGACGATCGTGGCAAAGATGAAGACCCCAATCAAATAGCTGACGATGACGAACACGTACCTGAAATGTGATTAGAGAAAATGATGACAGGTTACATTATAGGATACATACAGCCGCCACTAGCCTCTCTGTCTAATAATTAAAATAATCAAGTTGTCTGTTACGTTATTTGTTTCAAACATGTGATTTATGTCCACATGTTGAAAGCCCAGTAAAAGAAATTTCTTGGGATAAATAGAAATTTCTCTAGAAACAAAAAATGAAAAAAAAAAAAAAAAAAAAAAAAAAAAATTATATATATCACATATCAATTTGAAGTGATCCTTAAAGTATTAAGTAATGTACTTCATATTTGATAATTTTCCCTTACTTTAATTAATACGTCATTAACTGGATTAGATGTTCATAAACACAATGTATATTTTACACAAAACAACCAATTCTGAAGTCAAAAGTATTTTTAAAGCACCCCAAACATCATGGAATACAGACACGATACTCATGCAACACAAAAATAAACTTTGAAATGTGCAATCAGAGTGTTGTTTTGGTGTAAGAAAACGAAACAAAAGAATTACACTACTTAATACTAAACATTTAAAAAAGAAAACATAGAGCAAATACAGGGGTTCTGTTGGTTTCAGCATTCCGAATTACTTACGCACGAATTGATAATTTTTCTCTACAAGAAAGAGAAAAAATGTTAAAATCTTATCGATAATTAATTATGGCTAAATAAATTGAAGCCCTGTATTTACCTTTGCCATTTCCAAAAAGTGAAATCACATTTAACACATCCTTGGGGAATCATAAAACATGTAATATGAAATGCGTGTATAGTTTTTCTTTTCAACCTTATTGCCCTTTTTACTGGCTGAAGTTATTTTAAGGTCTTTTTTAGTCTTAGTTCTGCTAACTTATCATATAAAGATGGAAGTGAAATTGCCATTTTTAAGTATTGATGAACATGACTATAAATGCGACATTCTGTTAAAAGAAAGATTAAGGAAGCTCTAAACACTGCACACTAAAGAGTTCTATTTGTGTAGGGTAGTTTTATTTAATAAGAGTGATCTGCCCTTAGAAGAAAAATAGAATAAATGGGAATCTACAGTTAATGACACAATTTCTTATGAATTAAAGTATTCTTAATGTTATGTTAGACCAAGATTAAGTAATTGAATACATTATTTCCATCAATTTTCACGATGCAAGTAAACAACAGTGATTTCTGTTCACAAGTAGTTCATTGTCTTTGAACATTTTTTCTGCAGAAATAAGGCAGGTATCCTATGTTGAAAATGCACTAGATACACTGAATATGTGCACCATTTTATGATATATTTTTCTCTAAGTCCAAAAAGCATTTTTCATTAGTGTTTAGAGCTTCCTTAAGCAACAAAGAGCCCGGTCGGTTTACTTCGTACGTTTCATTTTCGTTTTAGATGGATACTTTACGGGGGAAAAGGTTGCATACAAGAGTTATTAACAGGAGTTACTGATAGTAATCGTTACTGCTTAGACTGGAAATCTTCATATGCGATTCGATAATGCTATAACTGGATTCGACAAAGGAATAGATTACCTTTTAAAGTTTGTGATCAAATTTCTAAATATCAACTATACGGATATTAAAGCCTTTTTGACAAAGATTGATGAGTACGTTTACAATAGTTGCACAACAATTTCCCCCATCAACTTTTTTCACAAAGAACCAGCAATACACACGTCCAAAATAAGAAGATTGTGATCTAAATGCAGTTGGTTATTCAATTATCACTCACTAGGTCTTCTCATAGGAGACTAACATTTCCCTATCTATGTGTCGTCTGCGTAGGCTGGTGAGTGATGTCATCAATTGCAGAACGCAGAATTAAAATTCTCGTGATATTACAAAGCAATCTTTTCCAATGTGTTTTAGTGTTCATCTGGCGCAATTAAATTCGCTTTAAAATCTTGAAATCAATTGAGGACATTGGTAACACAATGGCACAATTAAATTCGTTTTAAAATCTTGAAATCAAATGAGGACATTGTTAAATAGAATTCTAGTAATTATAGACCCCCAGGCAGAATCAATGACAATTCATTAATAACTTAGTCTTGTTAAAGGCGTAATACTGGCCCGTACTTCACGCTGCTGTTTTTATCAAATTTACATGATAATTATCAAATTGTCAAAGACAAAAAATGCATTAAAACATTGTGAAATCGTCTTTATATAGCAAGTATGCAGTAAGTTTTGTGAATGTTATGAAACGATATTCCAAGTAGATAGAAGAATATGAATTTTCTTAGCAAATGGAGGGACGTTACACACATTTCATAATTCCTTGAACATTTCCCCCCGTCTTAGCCTAGCTGCATTTTAAAATGAGAGTCTGCACTAATAAGTACTTAGGAAAGTAAACTGTTGGGATGGTGAAAATGCACAGTAGTCAAGTGACTAAAATGGAAAATTGTCATGTTATATAAATATTATTATTCATGTCACCCCAAGTGAAGCCGGGGCAACAAATTGTTATTATTCCTCCAATAATTTTGTTCGCAGATTATCTCGCAGATGGCTTGGATAGCCTTAACAGAAATGATAATTATCGTATCTAGTTGTGCATTCAACATTCATTTTTTTTTAATTGACACTCATTGCTATGGAGACAGACGATGTATTAAACTTTTAAATTTCACTTCTCTCGGTAGCTACCATCCAATCTCTTTGAAACTTTAAAGGATTTTTCCTTGAATCAAATCAAATAAAAAAAGCGAGGACAACGGTGCTTTATTTAAAGGAAAAAATCTACAGTCAATATAGATCTGTAAACAGGGCATAAAACACGGACCCCGGAAATTCCAGAGTTGGGATCAGGAACTAGGAGGAGTAATCATTCCCTATTGACCGGTCACACCCGCAGCGAGCCCTGTGTATTGATCAGGTAGACGGAACATTACGTAGACAATTTTAGCATAAAAAGGCCTAACAAATGGTATGAAACAGAGCAGCCAAAATACGACCCAATGCGAGGTTACATTTGCTAACAAGGTCCTTATAACGACCATAGAATTTACGTAATACCGACTTTAAACGAGGTTGTTGAAATCCCTGTAACACCAACTTATCCGTCAGTAGAGCCTGCCTCGGTTTAAAAATTGATCGTACTAAAAGCAATAATAAGTTGGGAGATGCAAGTATGGCAGAATATTGCTACACAAATCAGGAAAGGTGACGATGGAAAAGCTTGAAAAATCTCGTTTGCCATACAGTTTAGTTGTTAGTTGGCCCTTATCGTATGCAGTCAATAAAACATCTAATATGAAACAGATGTGGCAAAACATGTATCTTTAATTTCGAGTTCACTGTGATATATCGAGTTGACATGTGAATGGGGGTAAATTACGTTAATTGATAAACCGACGTTAGTATATCTAAATGTCGAGTTGAAGCCCACAGTAAGTATTTTCTTCTTCTCATGTAGAAGTCTTTGAATTATGCTTTATAGGAATATAAAAACAGATCGGCTAGTAAGGAGCACAATTAGTTCCCTAGATATTCCAAAAGTTTGTTCGAAGACCTGGTCTACGAAAACAACATAGATGTTGTAAATGAGGAACTCCATCATCATTTTAATACCAACTTCAGAGTACTTGTGGGTAGAAACAGAGTAATCTTTAACAAAGTAATTTTGTTGATGATCACAATAAGAAAATTTCCGAATTCCATTTTTTTTTTTTTTTGAAGATGCAGTTGTCTATGATATCAGAAAGCTAGTCTCTATCTTTTGTAAGAATTGTTTGTATAAAGTGAAGAAAAGTCGTGCATGTACGCTTTGATGTTACAGACTTTTCAAAAATTTGGTGATTTTAAATTTTCTAAAAGTTCTTTGGAGTTTTTGAGAATTCACATCTAATTTACACCAGTTCTAAAATATTCTGTAGCACAATACGTCTGAAGTTTCTAATTTACAGCAATTAATATTTTAGTGAGGAGTAAAGTGTTTGCTGGACCTGCCAATCCATCTTTGTAAGGATTTTATGAAGTTTAGGAAACCAGTATAGTAAGGGTAGATTAAACTCACTTTGGTTGACTGGAATGTTGAAAGTATGAAAGACTGAAATGATTTTGAAAAAATTTCATCCTTAGAAAGTGAACTGTGATTACAAGTTAGTTCCAGACGTAGTATTTAAACCAAGTTCTTCTAAAATACAGTTATTTCTACAATAGAATCCTATGGACAATTTTATTCACCGTTGCAATAAGGAAAAAGAAGAACTTCCTTTTAAATTTGAATTTATCCTCTAAACGTATTTCAATTTGCACAATATCGATGTGGAAGTGTCTCCTCTACTTTCTGGGGTTTAACATATTTTCAAAAAGGTTGCTGTTAAAGTGGAAAAAAATGGAAATATTTCTGAAAAATTTAAATTTTTCAAATTTTTAATATATTAGTGCTTTCTCTGCATTCAACTCCAATATTACAGCGTGGAGATCAGTTTAGGGTGACATGTTACTGATTGCAATTGCAACGTTTCTAGCTTAAATATGGCTGAAATATTGCCGACTCAGCCTTAAACAATAATAATCAATCAATCTAGCTTCTAAGTTTGGAATATATTTGATTAGTTGAATCAATTTGAATTTTTGTTTTATACAAAACATCGGCTGTTATAAAAAAATTTGCTTACTTTCTTACTTACTTACTGCCCGTGACGCCTTTGGCTTATGGGGCAGTAACGAGAGTTCTTTTCTGTCACTGGCTAGCTTTTGTAGTGTGCCCCAACTTCTCTTTTGTTTTTAAGTTCAGATTCCACTGTTCGCCGCGAAGCGACTTTTGGCCTTCCTCTCTTCCGTTTTCCCTCTGGTGTCCAGAGAGCAGTCTTTATAATACTGCCTGAGTCTCTTCTAAGTACATGACCAAACCAGTTCCAGCGTCTTCTGATGATGGCTGTGGCCATGTCCTCTTGTTGGCACCTGTTGAGAAGGTCCTTCTCAGAGACTTTGTATGGAATGTCGACAGCTTGCTCAGATCGCTCTGTCATTCTTCAACACTCTGATTTTTACAAGG